ATAAATTTCGAGGAGAAATAAAACATCCGCACACAGAGAGCGAAAGAGAGGAGAGAAAGAAAAAAAAACCGCGCGCACGGCGGATCTTCGCTCTCGTCTATCTCCTTCGTAAAATACCTTTCTAAGTAATCTCTCGCGCGCCAGAGTCAATCTTTCAGAGAGCGCATCTCTGCGCGGCGCCATCGGCTCTCTCTCTCTCTCTCTCTCTATCTATCTTTGGATGGGTTACATATCGCGAAAAAGAGAAAGAGATAGAGAGAAAAAGAGGAGCTTTTTATCGCAGCGCGGGCATCGGCGCGCATACGGCTACTCGGGTAAAACTGACCGGACATGAAAAGACTCGCGGTCGGGCGTGTAGTTGCCCATAGAAAACCGAACCGAGTTTCCGGAGAGAGAGACGCCGCGTTATTCACGACCGCGGCGTCGATCCGACTGGATTGTCAAGCCGCCTGTGAAAAAGCCCTGGTAAGTAGTTAATTATCCACGTTGCAGATACGCGCGTTGCCATCTCGCAATATCTGATAATTAATACCGGCCGGGTATTAAATCGACGGGTGAACGGGTCTGACAGCGTGTCGCGCTTCGACAGTATCTCTCTCTCTCTCTTCCTACCTTTTGCTCGACGACCTAACGAGAGAATATCGCTTTCACCCTGCTCTCTTTATAACGCGAAGAAAAAATATTACAGAGAGGAAAAAGAACGTGCGCGCGCGCGCGCGAGAATCAAATGAGATCGTCGTGTCGTGAAATCGAATCTTACCCGATACGTTTAAAGTTTATTTTTATTCCGCGAGAGAGAATATTAATCTCTCTCTGCGGAATCCCCTTTCCGGTCTATTTCGCGCACGAAATGTTGTCTGTATAATTGAAAGTCGAGTCTCATATATCGACATCGCGACGTTTTAATTAATAAACAGTCGATTCTCCGGTCGCGGTTCTCTCCAACGTCAAGGTTAAAGTCGAAGAATCGCGAAACTCTCCGCGCGTTTCGGGAGGAAGAAAAATTAATTCTCGTGGATTGTTGCAACGGGAAATTCGTTCATCAAAGATAAATTTTTCAAAAAGGATTTTGGGGGGACTCCGTGTGAGATTTCGTTTATTCACGCGCGTCCCGTTCGGGGGAAATGTACGCGCGCGAAACGTGTGCGACCGGGGGTTTGGACAAAACGCGAGCCTATTCACGCGCGACACGAACGGCGGCGCGAAACAAAAGTGGCGTGTGCTCGAAATCAACTCTTTTTGCCCGTCCATGGCCCTTTTAAAAGGCCCTCCGGCGATTTGCATTCCGCGTCTACGGCAAAGCTGCCTGCGGGCGGTGAGAGAAAGGGGAAGAGAGAGAGAAAGAGAGCCGGTAAGAGACTACAATAGGATTTTTATTTCAGCGCGCGTTTCTGTTATTCGGAGCTTCGAATCCCGAAATAAAAAATAAAAATAAGAAAAGCAACAGGAATATGATTTTAAGATTTACATAAGAAGGGGCAATTGAATTTTCCCTCGAAGGCAACTACTTCACTTCCTTTCTCTCTCTCTCTCTCTCTCTCTCTCTCTCTTTCTCTCTTTTCGGTATCTTCCTGAGAAAATATAATTTCAGACTAAATCGTTATTACGTGAGACGGTTGTCACAGATCGGAAATTTCATTCTGCCTTTATACGATCCACCCGAATGATAAATGGGATCTACTTAAGTCCCGGGGGAAGAAGAAATCCCCCTCAGAGAATTTTTCTTCACCTTCTCCGAGCATTTGTTTTTTTTTTTTTGTTTTTTTCTTCATATTTCCGAGCAAATTCGCGCGATTATTTCAAACACATTTGACTTGCATATATCTGGCATCTCTTAACAATGTTTTCTTGTAAGTGATGTACACCGAAAAAATTGTATTCTTGTAAGTAGAAGATTTTATACTTAAAAAATCTTCTTAAAGATTTTAGATGATATTCTTCTGAAATTAAAAATATATCCTTTATTTAAGAATATAGTCTTT